ATATTATCTACTAAATACCTAAACAAATTACTTGGTATTACTTTTTCATCTGTCTGGAGTTCCTTTTCAATGTTCCATCAGCTTTAATCCTGGCAATCTGCCAACCAATGTTTGCTTTGATTCCTCGTTTACAGCATCCAAACCACTGAACCATATGACAGTGGGAATTGATAGAAACCATGGCAGTGCCTCTCAAAGGCTATTTTTCATCATATTGCACATTGGTTTCAATTATTTTGTCACTCAGAATTGAGCATAAAGTTGAAAACAACTTGTACGGGGAATTGTAAATTGTAAAAGCTTTGTGAAATGTAACCACTTCAGTTCATGCGTCTGTATACCCTGTATGGAGCAGAGCAATGTCTAATGGGCAAAACCTTTTGTAATTTCCTAAAGAGACATTGTCACCATGCCCATTAAGCACGAAGTGACTATCAGGGTTATTCACAAAAGGATGAAGAGTTTGGAGAAGGCCGGAGAAGTGAACAATATAGGACAAAATAGTTGATTATCCAATTCACCTCACTTTCCAGATCAGCTATGTTGCCCTAGATTGTTCACTTCTCCTGCCTTCTCCAAACTCTTCACCCTTGTGCGAATAACCCTGTATGTGTTTTTTTTTTAAAGGCTCACCCTCCACCCCCACCTCAGTTATACTCTCCCTATAAGCTCTCCGTCACCACTCAAAGCTGCCATATGACCTCCTCCATTGTCAAGGATCAGGTCTAGATGCCAATTGCTGGACTCAACCACTGTCATGTAGGGGGTAACATCACTACTCCCCCTAGCCTCCTACACAGAGGACACCTCAGATTTCCTCGGAGGCAGGGACTGTAAAGGATTGCTGATAAGGAGAGTATAACTGGGGCTGGATGGACACTTTGCTAACCCGCTGTCACTGTGTCCTGCATGGACATGGCGGCAGTGTCTCTTTCGCCACTTCAGTACTCTACCCATAGAAGATACATCCTAAGAACTTCAACAAAGTAATTCCTACATCCTGTTCCTCTTCCCCTGCCGCTGCTTCCCCTGCTGCTGTTACCAGTCACAAATTTATCAGAATTGCTATGTATTACATAGAAGGACCTGCAGTCAAAATGTAAATGAAACTTGCAGAGAGTCTTCAAGAAAAAGCATCTCTCCCGATCTGCAGGTAATCATACCACGTATGATTAAATGCGGACAGTCACGGACAGATGCTGCTGATGTCATTGATGTCACCCTGTCATTAACTTGAATGGACACAGCAGCGGCATCTGAACAGGCACACCTGGGATTACTGCTGCAAGAATCCGCAGATTCTCGGGGCAGGAATTCCGCAGAGGCCTAAAGCTGGCCATACACCCAGTGATTATCTGCAGATTTTCTATGATCAGATGGAAACAGTGCAACAGATTCCTCCATCTACGCTAAACTGTGTGGATGGAGGAATCTCCCACTGGGCCAAGCTTCAGTATCTTGCCAGTCGGCCCCGCTGGCTGTCAAAATACCTGAACAATGCCTGCACCCAATCAGATTGTTCTGGTATTTTGTCTTACGAGCAGGCCATGCTCGTAAGACAAAATACGTGCGACCGTACAGTAGAAACGGTCGCACGCCTTCCATACACCTGACGATTATCGTACGATCGCAGGTTTTCCCGCGATTATCGTACGATAATCAGCAGGTGTGTGGGCACCTTAAGGGCTTGTTCACACGACGTCCAGATTCTGTCCGGACCAGAACCGTGCGCTCATGCGCCCAAAATGCATCCCAATGTATCCTTATGTGTTTTAAGGGCTACAGTTCTCACGAGCGCAGTTCGTTCTGGTCCGGACAGAAAAAAATACTGCATGTCACATTTTGCCCGGGCCGGAAATGCACGAACGTGTCAAAAACGTGTCAAAAATGCACTGCATGCATAGCACCGCGTCTCCAGATCTGGACCAGAACATCGTGTGAACAAGTCCTGAAACAGAGAGTCAAAAAACGCTGAGTTCCCAATAGCCCGATAAATCCAGCATATGCAATCCACTTTAATCACTCTTTCGCCACTTATTTTTACAATATAGATGGGCACTATTTTGTTTGTTTTTTTGGAATGTATATGGAATATTGTCACTGATTTATAGAGATTCCACACTTGGGTGTGGAAGCATTTGCATTTATAATTTCACATTTATCACTGGGATATTCACCAAGTGAGATATCACTTTTACAGAGTTATATTATTATTATTTTTTACACAAGTTGCTTTGAAAAAATTTTTTATTGTATGTTTTATATAGTTTCTGTTTCTGAAAAGTGCAGTGCAGTATATATATATATTATATATATATATATATATATTGTGTATATATTTACGAGTGTACACATACACTAAAGCACAGTAGCTAGTAACACTTTAAGTAATATTGTATATCCACAAGCGCGAACCTTTATAATTTCTGTATACTCATTCTCAGTTGCAATAAAGCTCAGCGTGTCCTTGTTATTGTGTAACCAAGCTAGGTCACCGATATAGGTTACACAGTGTCAGTGACAAATTCTTGTGCCTGAGAGCGAATGGAAATCTAAAAAATGCACAATGCTTTCCACAATAGTAACTGCTGCCAATGCCTAGTGCAGGTCACATAATCCTCCAGGTAAAAGTATGCAAATAGGCAGATTTATTTCATTTTTTTTTTTACAGGGAACGTGACCACATTATAGATGTAATAAACTGTACTTTCAACATACCTAGGTGATACCTATAGGTGAGAGACTTGCTAAGCCAACAGGCTCAGACAGCAGGGACAGCAGGATAGAAATGTGATTGTGACACAGTGGTGCCACAGGTAAACTGTAGTCCTGCAGACATCCCGGCCCCACCACAGCTGCACCTACTGCACCTGATGTAGCTATGTAGTTGCCCGAGACCAAGTGTGCATGGTCATACATCAAGATGGAACGTGAACTTGGGTAAACTACAAATCCAAGCTTGAGAATTGAATCTTACCGTGTGGCAACCAAATCCATTGGCCACTCCTGGCTTGTAAGCGGAGTGTGCTGTTACCCCTAGGGCGTATGGACCGGCCCCGTGATAGCCACTTCTGTAAAATAACAAATATACAAAAAACAAAAATAATTCAACAGCTAGAATCAACAAAACCTGCAACTTTGCTCTGAAATGGCATAGTGAAGCCTACTGGGGATTCATTTGTCTCAAGTGGAAATTCCGCTACAAATTGTCTGCCTTTCATCCTTCGTCCAAAGGCCTGAATATGCTTTACGATGCACGCAGCAGCTCTGTAAGACACAATTGCACCCTGCCGTAGGTAATACTTGAGTTCTATGAAAAGGAAAGGCTGGTCTAAGGATAGGGAATGAAAGTGGACCTGACCAATAATTATAAGCATTCTTGCTCATGAAAATAATTCAGTCTATTGTGGATTGGATATAAGAGGTTGGGCTTCAAAACCCATACCTGCATATAGGAGGATAGCAAGGAGGATGGACAATGTGGAGGTGGCAAGACACTGGAGCTGCAGTGTACAAGTGCATATAAAACTATTAGAGTACAGGAAAGTATATATTCCCATCACACATGTTCCTGTATAGGGTTTGGAATAAGAAGGTGCTGTTACAACTACCTCCAGGTTAACTGGAATCATCGTAGATAAGAACATATGCCACCAGCACATCATGGTTCCATAATCAATAGTCCAGATGTTTAGTTAAAATGATCACATCACAAACAGTGCAGGTGTAATGTCTTTGTGTTTGTGATGTGACCACTTTAAATAAACGCCTTGACTATTGATTATGGATCCACGGTGTGCTGGATATACATGTTCTTATCTTTGGGGGGGTGACACTATGTTAGCTTTACTGTACTGAAACATATTAATGGTGGTGATGGTAGGACTACAATTGGTAGTAGGGTGGGACAATAGGTGTGGAAGGTCTGTTGACTAGGGTACCAAAATGGAGCCTTTAGCTCCAGCACAGTGTTTGCAGGCTGAAGTCAATCTTGATTTATTAAAAGGAGAACACCATTTGATGCTAAAGAGTCCATTAGAGTTTGGTTCAGTGCACAAACTCTCTCACACAGTTCGTTCAGGCATTGACCAGATTTGCCACCTTGCCAGTCAGGGCCCGGATATTTCTCAAGCTTACCTTAAACTAATTATATCAAAATTGCCTGTATATTGTCTTGCAATAAACATTGCCAAGTCATTGGCCTCTGAACCGCAGTTAGTCAGGTAAAGCACCTGCGTGTAAAGAATAATAAAAAAAGATATATACATGAATAAACATATGCATACATTCATGCATCCACATACACAATTTTACATATATAGTTATTTTTTAAATTTATTTTGTGGTTAAACATTTATCTGCTTTGCTCCTCATTTCACTTTTTTAAACCAGGAAAAGAACTG